CAACCAGAGAAAGCCCACGTACCACAGTGACGACCCAGCACAATCAAAAAAAAAAAAAAAAACAGACCTCTGCATTATCAATTTTGTTAAGGTTTCAAAAAACCTCTGGACATTCCTAACAACCAGCAGCTTTGAGGGAATCCCAGCTCTGAGATGCCAACAAGAAGCCTCACTGAAGGGAAGGACTGACTATGAGATGACCTGGCTGACCCTCAGCCCCAGCACTGCAAAAGGCCACTGCTGCTCTTTTCTGCATGTGTGAGATGCCAACATGTGGCATTTGAGAATCAGAGGCATGCGGCCTGGGAAGAACTCATCCGTATGTGTCTAAATATACTCAAGATGCACTGAATTGAATCCGAAAGAATCCAAGATACACAGAAGAAACAAGGAGCACCTTCCAACGGAGCTAGTCAGCTGTGGTGTCAGAAGTATAGACTGGTATCAACTGGGGCTAGAGTCTGGTCCTCACACCTGGCAATTACTTCTCTGTACACCAATGTCCTTAAGTGCTTCGTATGTACTATCTTATTTAATCCTCACAACAGTCGTATGAAGTAAGATCACCTACTGTCTTCCCTATTCCAGCAAGACACCGACAATGAGGTCAGCAAGATTATCCAAGGTGATACAGGCAGTGAGGCACTGAGGCAGTATTCATCCTCTCCGTGGAGAGTTCAAACTGTAGGTCGGCTGAAGGTGAGGTGGGTAAACAGGTCAGGGAGGTCCAGCGGCAGGCACCCCTCTCAGTCACACCGCACCCTGGAAGAGCTGTCGCTGAACACTGCCGTTCCTCTAGGCCCCGAAGCTGCACACAGGCAGCCAAGGTCATTCCTGATCTGGCCACAGTCCAGGCAGCTGGCTACACCAGTATCAGCCGCCTGGGATGGGAGGACTGCTCACACCGTTGTAGGCTCATGCTGCTGGGGTGACGAGGGAGAAAGGAATCTCCCAGTCGGTGAGAGGTGGTGAAAGAATGCATCTACAAACCTACCTAGAACAATTAAAGACTCTGAGCATCCACCTGGTTTTTTTTTTTTTTTATTAGCACCCTGTGACCCTCTTTTACAGAAAGAGGTGGGTAAGGATAACCTGTAGGCTTGTAACTAAGGACCAGGGTAGTGGGGCACCCTTGTTTGGTAGGTGGAATTTGTGTTTAATGAGGCTTTAACCTAGAGGAGAACCACTGAGGTGCTCAGCCTGGTAGACTTCTGGCTTCTTCTGTTTGAAAGTTACAGTGCAAAGCTCATACCGTGTGCTGGCGGCATTCTAATCATGGCACAACAATCAGCAAGCAGTGGGCAATTTCTCAATGTCTTTTCATGACGCCAGGGTTCAGCCAGCTCTATAATGACCCATCCAGCCTCCTACCACAATCCCCAAGTCTTTTTATAGTCACAGGTAATTACACCATGGAGAGATTACATCACGTCCTCAGCATGGTCGGCAGCTGACAGGAAGATGCTCTGCGGATGTTTTGGGAACTTCACTTAGCAAACAGTTTGCTGTGGTCCCTACTGTTCCTTTCCAAAAATAGAATTGCCCTGGCAAACCCTGTGCCTGAACTGGGACCCAAACAACCAAGGGTCATTGCAGAGAACAGAAACAACCACAGAGGTAGACAGGGTAACCCAGAGATGACTCCTGCTTCTTTCATCCAGGAAAGAGAACAGACGGTGTCTCTCTTCCTCTGTCAAAATTATCCTTTGAAGGATGCTGATCTGAGTGTTCCAACAGAGAGCAGTACAAGAAACAGGTCTCAGAAAAGCCGGCCACTCGGCAGAGGTAGTGTGGTTCTCAGCAAGAGCATGGGCAAGAGTCAGGCAGACTGGGTACAAATCCCAGCCAGCTTCCCCACCTACAACTGTCTGCCTCCGTGCAAGCTACCTGAACTCCCTCGGCCTTGGTTTCTCATCTGTAAAATCGTTACAGGACCACGTAGATCACGGGCATTCTGAGAACTTTTACATGGTAACACAGAGCCTGACACACAAATGATGCTCCATACACATCACTTCCCCACCTGTCCTCTCTTCCCAGCTCAGTGTATGTTACCTCGGACTCCAAGTCCCTTCAGAGACAGTGAGGTGAGCCAGGGCCACCTGCTAACATCTCTCTGCCAGAGTCATGCTAAGGGCCAAAGCCACACATCCCCCAGAGAGCCGAGCTCTCAGCATTTTCCATCTTCAGCGAACACTAAGCACTCAGCTTTCTCACTCTGCCTTCCTTACTTTAGGTGCTTTTTTGAATACAGCCATTAAGTGTCATGGTAACATCTTAAAGGGGAAAAAAACAAAAACAAAAACAAATAAAATACTGAGTTTTTTCAATAAAATTGCTCAGAATAGGGACAGAATGGAAATTAAAGGCTTTTTATATGAGTCAGCAAGGCAGCTGGCTTGGGACCATCCAACTATGCAAATGTGGAAGGCGAAAGGGATTCTGGATGTAATCAATCCTTCCTTAACTGGTCAGGTTTGACACTTCCTACCAACCCCTTATCCTCAACGCAAGAAATGACTCTACATCTCCAGTTTTGTTTCGCTTTTTAAATATTTATTTACTTTATTTGGCTGCTCCAGGTCTTAGATGTGGCATGAGGAATCTTTAGTTGTGGCATGTGGGATCTAGTCCCCAGACTAGGGGTCAAACCCAGGCCCCCTGCACTGGAAGCATGACCATTAGACCACCTGGGAAGTCTCTCCAGGTTTGTTTTTTAAAGACAGAAGAGGACGTCATCCACATGAAGTCTCCTGCCCAGAGTGACTCAACAGGAGGTTACATACCAAATCTGCTGTTGTTATTATTTAAAATTACACAGAGCACTTTACACGTCAAATGCCTTCCAATCATTTTTATTAGTCTACACAACACCCACCTAACATCCTCAAGTGTTGTATTTCTGTTTTATAGGTGACACCAAGAGGTCAAGTGATTTACCTGAGGTCATACATACAGCAAGTTTCTTAAAGTCACAAGCAAAGAGACCTGGGAGAGGCTGCTACACAGCAGGGATCCTAATTCCTCTCCAGCCCGAGAGAGGCAAGTTGGGTAACATGAACACAGGCCTTATTTTTAGACGTGGTCTTCCCCTGCAGACTGTGCCCAGGTGTGAAGAGTAAGATATGCTTCCTTTAGCCACTCCGAAAAAGGGAACTTTCAGTAACTCTCTCCGTCTCTGCTAAACATATGACCAAGGGGCAAGCTGAACCCAATCCTCTGTAACCCTGTCTCCATTATAATTCCAAATCAAGGGCTGCAGATGAGAGAAACCAGGACAGAAAACTGAACTAGGGACATGACATATATCACTTTACCCAGAACTTTACCCCAGAACTCTCAAGTGCCTCTTCATGATGCTTTTCTTCTAAACCTGAGCAATTACGACCAATACTAGGCAGGCACGTGGTATTTACAACCACAGACTACGCAGACAAATCACCTCCAGAGGATGCCTGCTGACCTCTGTCCAGTGAGATTCTTGCAGTCATGTTGTGTCAGGACACATGAACATATCTATTAAAGCTCCCTGGGTACCAAGCATCTCATTTATAATGCCTCTGGAATGGGTGTTTAAGAGCAGCTATAGGAAATGGTAAGAAATGCAGGAAGAGGAAACCTTTTCTGACCTGATTGCCTTTCCTCGACTTCAGATTATCTGAGAGTCTTGGTTTCTTGGCAAGCTTGCCTGGCATGCCACTCATGGCAAGCTCAGCCATACAGGTGTGCTCTAGGTTTCAGGCCAAGCTGTGGGCACCTCTTTCCACCAGAAGTCACTCCAGAGAGGAAAAAATATCGCAACTTGGTGCACTAGAATGAAGCAACGGTGAAACCCCTTCCCCTGTCTGCACCCTGCTCAGAGCCAATACATAGGTTTTATGGGGAATAAAAAGACTGGGCGGAGGGGGTGGGATGGCAGGGGAGGAAGGATTCTTTGAAAATGGGGGAGGGAAAGAAAACAACAGAGCCAATTTTCCCATCCCGGTCTGAGCCCACGCTACAGACTTATGTTTTCCATACTGGAGAATAATAATCCCTTTATCCAGCCAGTCTGGGAACATCAGTCCCTGATAATTGATTTCAGACCCTGAATGGAAAGTTGGGAAGGTGTGGGTAGCTGAAAAATAGGGTGGGGAATGGGAGGGTGGGGGGAAGCCCATAAAAGAAAGTGGGGGGTACCAGGGATGGCCCAATGAAGCTAAAGAGGCCGAAGGCAGAAGCTCTGCCCTCACACGGCCATGTAACACGCCAGGATGCCTCCCCAGAGGAGCTGGGGAAGAGGAGAGCGTGCTGGTGCACCAGACACTGTGCAAGGCTCTGGTCCCACGGCTGCCATGAGCACGACCCTGGGCCAGCGCACAGTCTCTGAGGTCCATCCTAGCTCTGCCCAGTCCCTTCTTTCTTCTTACTCTGATAGCCACTCCATTCATACACATTCTTAGTGAGCATTGCTTGTTCTGGGCTGGGGGTAAGGTGGCAAACCTCCTCCATAAAGGGCCAAATATCTTAATGTAAATATTTTAGGCTCTGGGGACTACATGGTCTATGTCACAATTACCCAACTCTGTCATTATAGCACAGGTGAGAGACCTGAGGCTTACAGAAGCAGAGACTCTCTTTGGGTCACAGAACTAGTGAGCAGCAGGACTGGGCCCTGAACACAGGTAGAGGATTCCAAAGCACGCATCCTTACCTGCACATCACACTCGGAATCCTACACCTCGGTCCCACACGCGACTACGGCAGGGGAGGGGGATGGTCAAGTCACCCCTGGCAGGCTCCTACACCCCCCACTTCCGGCTGGCTCCCTAGGTCCCCTGGAGCCCCCCTCCCCCCCCAGGACTAGCTTCCTGCTGTATCGCAGCACCAGCACCAAAGCCACCACCCTCTCCTCTCCCATTAACTGCTCCAGAAGCAGAGGATCCCCTCTCCCAGTCTTTGGGAAAACAATGGTACTGAGTCTTTTCCTTCGCACACACAGGCAGCAGGCAGGCGCTTACCTGAGGCAAATCCGTCTCCAAGAAGGGTGCTAAGAATCACCAGGGGAAGGAATACTCCATGTCCCGTGAAGGCCACGGCAAACGCTGAGGTGCTCTTTGGTGCTATCCTGCCATGGCACATCTTTTATCCGTCCAAGTTATTTTTAAAAGGAAAAATGTAAAAGCAAGAAGGAAGAACTCTGAAGTCAGCCTCGGGTAGATTCACCTATTAAAAAAAAAAAAAAGGACATAAGTGAAAGCTTTAGCCATACGTTAGTTACAGTAGGCCTTCCTTTATGATAAGGAAGCCATGGTCACACACAAAAAGCTAAAAGAATTCTAGCAACTGAATCCCTACCACCAGGAGAAGAGACAAGCATGTAAGTGGCTTTTCAACTCCTCCCCGGGGAAATGCCAAGGCCCACAGTAAGCTGCCACAGGCGTGGTCACCACCTGGGAGCCAGATCCTTGTGACAGGACAAGGACACTAGCGCGGGCTCACCTGGGGATCCGGCAAGCTGGGCAAAGCTTTCAAAAACTGCCCTGCTGCCTGCCTGCCCTGGGGGCTCCGGCAGAGAGGAGGAAAGAGCTGGTTGTTCATGTGGAGAGTGTTGCACCAGAGTTTGCCTCCGCCTTTGCCACTGGACTCAGAGCAAGTTCAACTATCCAGAAAAAAACAAACAAACAAACAAACAAACAGAGAGCAGGTGTCTAAGAGGGAGAAATGCACCGCCTAGAGAAGGAATGCCACAGCCAGCGCCAAGAGCCCCTGGCTCAGCCTGCTCAACCACCAGAGGCTGGAGAAGCCCCTGGGGACCTGGCTCCCACCATGAATCTCAAAAATGGACTAATTAATCACAGCTCACCCAACACACCTGCGACCCCAGAGGCCGCATCTGTTGGCTTTATGTGACAATGACTGAAGGGAGAACAAGTCGTAACTGTTGACTAGCCCAACCATCCACTCTGGCTCAAAGACTTAAGAATAGGAACCAGTATCTTTGAAAGAGCAAAAAAAAAAATCAGGGATCAAGACGTCTAAGGATTTTTTCCCACTTGCTTTCAGGAAAGCAGAAGGGTTGATCATACATTTTGATACAGGTCTATTATATTTTACTTAACTCTTTTGATATCATTTATCCTAGTTTATAAAAGATATTCCAAATGTAAGGTTACACTTCCTTCTTAAATGCCATACACACCTCTTTCTCCAGTAAGGCTTTATGTCAACAGATAAGCGAGCCTGCCATCTACAACCCTAATAAAGGGTATACCCGAGGGATATCACCCAGACCTGACTTTAATCCAGGTATGAAGCCTGTGGCTCAGGCCTACACAGCCCTTCTAAAGAGAGGTACTGCAGACAGTAATATGAACTGTCTTAGTCTAAAGGAAAAGCAGCTGTGAGGGTCTTCAATGAGCATGATCAAGGGGCTCAAGAAGAGAGCTAGCCACTGGGTCTTCATTCACCACCCTCAAATGGTTGGGACTGTAGAGTCCCCTGTCCCCAGCTTTTACCCAGACTCCAACTGGGGCCTTCACAGCTGCAGAACAGGATGGTTCATGGAGAGGTCTAGGGATGGAGTCTGCTAGTGACCCAAAAGGGTACACAAAACCACCTGTGTGTAAATGTGCAAAAACAGTTTGTAGCTAAGAATGGTAGAGTCAGAATGCCAGATTTCAAATCTCTTTCCTCTGCTATGACTTGGGGCCAATTTACTCTCTGAGCCTCAGTTTTCTCATCTGTAAAATGGAGACAGTAACCATACCATCATCTTCATAGGGTTGATGTAAGGATTAGGATCAGACAAAGTGCTCAAAACAGTGCCTGGCACTTTGCAAGTCCTCTGTAAACGACGGCACCTGTTGCTGTCATAATTATTAATAAGATCTGAGCATCAGAGGAGACCTTAGAGGTCATCAGGCTTCATCTCCTCTTCTGAAAGAAGTCAAAACTAAGGTTCAGAGAGTTAAAGGTTATGCCCATGCCGCCAGTCAGTTAGCAATGGATCCCTGGTGCTGCCACTGTACATGCAGCCACAGCGGGTAACCTGGGCAGGCACTCACCATCCCGAAAGGGAAGAACCAGTGGATCACGGAGAATGACACCACGTGCACAAGTACTTCTGCTGAGAATGGACAAGGCCAGATCAGGGTGGTGCTCACTGTTCCGTGCATGAGTGGAAGGAATCAGGAAAGAAGACCCAGAAGAGGGGATGCTAGACAGACTACTAAACGATGTGTCCAGTGGAGAAGGAACACATTGAGTACAAGCGGCTGGGAGCAATGGAACCCCACAGTCCCGGGAGATGCCAGAGGTAGGGACTAGGCTAAATTTAAAATCGATGGTGGTCCAGTGGCTATGACTCTGTGCTCCCACGCAGGGGCCTGGGTCCATCCCTGGTCAGGGAACTAGACCCCCCATGCCACAACTAGGACCCGGTGCAGTCAAATAAATAAAAATAGATTAAAAATAAAAGCTTTATCATTGAAGACCATGTGGAGCTTATAAGGATTGTACACAGGGAAGTTCTAACAGCAAATTCTTTCAGGAAGATCACTGTCGCACGGATTTTAGAGGACTGGTTACTGAGGGGCAGGGTAACTTGGTACGAGGCAGGGTTACCAAGTGGTAAAGAATCTTACATGTAGTACTGTATAATTAATGTAGGGGATTCCCCGCTGGCTCAGTGGTAAAGAATCTGCCTGCCAAGAAGGAGACCTGGGTTCGATCCCCGGGTCGAGAAGATCCCTAGAGGAGGAAATGGCAATCCACTCCAGGACTCTTGCCTAAGAAATCCCATGGACAGAGGAGCCTGGTGGGCTACAGTCCACGAGGTCGCAAAGAGCCGGACATGACAGAGCAACTAAACAATTAAAGTAGAGCTCTCTGGAGAACCACGTGACAATATCTAGCCCCCAAATGCACATATTCTCTGACTTATCCATTCTACTTCTATAATCTGTCCTCAGAAACCACTTGTGTGCAATGATACATATGCAGGATATTCAGTGCATTATTTATACTGGCACAAGATTGAAGGGGACTAGTTAAATAAGTTACATAACAGAATACATACAGTGGTTTAAAAAGAACTGGGCAGTTCAGTCTGTACTAATATGGAATGACTTCCAAAGTTAGTACGTGAAGAATACCATGTGCGTGTGTGCATGTGTTTTTAAAGGAAACACACGTGTGCACATGCACACACACACACTCACATGCGTGCATACACACATACATACACATACTCTTGTATGCACTGAAAGTCTCTCTCTGGAATTGATGCACAAGAAACTGGTAGCTACCAAGTGCTATCAGGGAGGGGAACTAGGGGTAAAGAGGGGAGAAGACTCACTGTTCACTGAATGTATTCCCTTTTCATCTCCTTGAGTGTTGTACCTTGGGTATTACCTAATCAAACAGATAAAATACAAAATAAAATTAATGCAGCAAGCCTTCCCATAGGCCACCTGTCTCCTTCCTGAACAAATTAATGGACACTCCAGTAAATCTGATTCTCTCTGCCAGGAATAGTCAGTTGCAGGGCTCAGCACAAGGGTCATCTCCTTGAGGAATTCTTTTCTGACACATCACACCCACCTCCAGTAGAAATAACCCTCTTCTTACTCCCAAAGTGCCCTGAGCACCCTCTCTGACTGTACCTCTATCAGGTGATTACATCTGTTTATCTGTCTTACCTCACCAGGCTCAAAGTTCCTGAAGGCAGGGACTGTGAATTACTCAACATGAATTTTCAAAAGCCATCACAGGGCCTGGCACCAGACAGGCAGGCAGCAAATGCCTGCCAAACTCATGAATACTATGGGGAGAAGCAAGTATGGAACTGGGGAAAATATGCATACATATAAGCTCATGTTTTGTTTTGAAGAAACAGCTGGTTCCTCCCTTACTCTTAAGCAGCTATCTGGGCCAAGGGACTAATTCCACCATGAGTCAAAGACCTGATCAAGTGCAGAACAAATGGGGTGATGGAAATTCGGGCTCTGCAAAGAGAAAAGATGAACAGAGGAGAGTCAAGGAACGTTCACACACAAGGCTGAGCCAATGGTAGTGCTTTAGAAATAACTCGGAGAAAAGTGAGTCCCCACAGCCCCAGAGTATCCCAAAATGGGAAAACTCAGCTATTATAGAGAAAGGCTCACACTACATCCAATCATTTTAAGAAAGGATCTGCTTTGAATGCAGAATTTTAAAAAACTGTCCTTGAAGTGTGGCGTTAGACAAGGTGAAAAGAAAAACACTGAAAAGAAATTAAGATTGAGTATTCATTACAATCCCTAGAAAAAACCTACAGACTAAAACTTGGGGGAAAAAAAAAATTCATTTCACTTCAGTATTTTTTTTGCGGGGCTGGGGGGGTAGGTTTTAGTGACCACTTCCCCTGACTTAAAAAATTATGATTTAGAGAAAGAAAGTAGAATGATGGTTGTCATGGGCTGGGGGAGGAAGGAATGGGGAGTTACTGTTTAAGGTTTTGTCAGATGAAGACAGTTAGTTATAGAGACAGACAGTGGTGACGGTTGTTCGACATTATGAATGTACTTAATACCACTCTTCAAAATGGTTAAGATAAGTCAATTTTATTTTATGTGTGTTTTAACACAGTAAAAAAAAAAAAAAAACTGGGAAAAAATTATGATTAAGAGGAACTGGGAACTAATCATGCCTACTTCCAAAACCTGCACTCACACCCATCCTTAAAAGGCATGTAGCATCTAAACCGGATGTGAGGAGAGAGGAGAGGGCCTGGGGGACCAGCTGCCACCAACCAGCCTGCTGGTCAGGAACGCTCTCTGGCTTTTGTTTTCACACCTAAAAACGGCTCTAAAGTCTCTCTCAGACACAGAATCCTCCAGAGCACATCCATGCTTCCCTTTGTACAACTCATTTCTTCCTCCAGCAGTCAGCATTCCCTTCCAAAACATGAAGTGAGGAAGAGTCATGGAAAAACCTACATTCACCCTTCTGATTGTCCTTCTTGAGATTCTTGATGCCACCCCTATAACCTGTGGTAAAAGGAGACCGCCATGATTTAGACTGCCATCTGGCCCCTCCCACCTCTGTGAACCCAAAACATCAAAAGCTTGAGTGACTGTGCCACGCTGAACGTGATGGTCGTGAGCACTCATTTCCTGTCCAGAGCCAAGAGGAAGGACACTGTCCTCAGCTCTACCTCCGCTTCCTCATCTGTGAAAAGCACGCTTGAGTGATCTCACTAGTTTCTAGTTAAGGCTCAAAAGGGACAAAATGGAAGGGACTGCTTGCTCTGTGAACTGGTAAGACTCAGGCCTTCTATTCACAGTCTCAGCCTCTAAGCCAAGAGAGCAGAAGGTGACTTGAGAAAACTGCTCATAAGAATAATGATAATAAGCGTGGCACGCCTCTGGGGCTGAGGACAGCCTGTAACACGAGCTCCGAGTTCACAAAGTTTGCTTACTTGTTGTTGCCATAGATGCTTCCAGATGAACCAAAGAGCCTGCTAAGATTAAAGGTATCCTAAGAGTCACCTTGAAAAATGGCTCACAGCCTAGACAGGCAGCAGCAGGGGTCAAGGGGAACCTTGGAACAGCCAGGGCACCCAGGGCCCAGCTCCTTGTAGCCCCTGTGCCTGGGGCCCATTCCTGCGCACAGTGTCCTGTTCTCCCTGCTCCTCGGGTCGAGGATGTCACAGTCCTGATGGTGGCACGGTCAGGTCACACTCTACTGAGCCCTCCTCTATGGAGGCTAAGGGTCCTGACTCAGCCCCGCCTGCCTCCCAGAGGCTACCTGGGTTTCTCTACAGCTCAGACTCAGGACAGATTATTTCCTAAGTCATGGCCATCTCTCCATTAGTTATAAGAGCTAAGTGAACAGGTAAGACCAACAGAAATCCTTTCCTTGCTTCAGACTAGTCTGGGAAGGGGATGGTGGTGATGGAGAATCTAGAATAAGTTTGTTCCTTTGATTAACCATCTTCACCAACCCCCATACTACCATGTGATGGGGGGAAGACAACAGTTCACGAAGTCAGAACAGAATTTAACCCTTACATTTCAGATAGTACAGAAAATACGTGTGAGCTCTGTGGAGTTCAGAGTTCCTCAAAGGGTGTGATAAAAACAGGGAATGTGCCGTGGGGCCCTCTTTACCTCTCCCTTTCTCCCAGTGGCATCTCCCCTCTTCACTCTCACTCACCCTGATTTGGCTGGGCCAAAGCAGCAAAAGATACCTATATATTTATCAGATCTAAATGCCTCCCACTCCTCCCCCATAAAATGACAAAATTACATTACTTCTAGATGTCTTCAGTTCACTTTTTCCCTCCCTGGGGATAAATGGCTCCTTCCAATCTTGCTAACCTCTGTATCGTCCCCTTTCTTTTATGCCACCAACAGCTGAGTACTTCAATAGGCACGAAGTTGTCTTTTGGACTTTGAGATCCTTGAGAGTCATAATGTTTACTTTATCCATTTCCTTTTCATCTCCAGTCCCAAAGCCCAAAGGACACAAACATCAGAGTCGTGTTAAAATTTACCTCCTACAAATCACAAAAATAACTCTCGGTTTTTCTCAGAAAAACTTCCTGGTGCTTCCCTGTTGGCTCAGATGCTAAAGAGTCCACCTACAATGCAGGAGACCCAGGTTCGATTCCTGGGTCGGGAAGATCCCCTGGTGGAGGGCATGGCAACCCACGCCAGTATTCTTGCCTGGAGGATTCCATGGACAGAGGAGCCTGGCGGACTACAGCCCACGGGGTCGCAGAGCCAGACACAACTGAGTGACTAACACTTTCACTTTCTCAGAAACCACTGAAGCCAGGGTAAAGCAGGTACTGGAGGCTTTTCTGAATTGCTCTGATATCCCTGTATTCTTGTCTTTCTTCCCAGAACTGCTCACTACAGCCTCTTGCTGTTTTGTTCTCTCTACCCTGTTCCTCAGGCTTCAGACAGCAGGAACACCAGCAGACACAAGGAACCTTCCCTGTAATCATCTCTAATGACTACTTTCTAGAACCCAGCAGCAGGATGACTGCAGCATGGACCTGCATGCAGGAGACAGCTCTCAAGTCCTAGCACCACCAACCAACAGTGGCTGGGCCTCAGACGAGTCATTCATTCTTCCTGGCACTCAGGGTATGGGCCTGAATGATCCCCCAGTGCCCTTTCAGTTTTAAGGGATCTGGAATGTCTTCTAGGGAAAAGGAGGAGCTCCGAAGTATTTCCTCTGAAACAGAAGTCAACAAAAGTTCTGACTAGAAGGAAGAAATGTTAAACCCTTCCTCTTTATTCCCCAGAGCAAACATATCCTAGCATCTACCTCCCTCTGCACTGCAACAAACTCAGGAGATTCCGCTTTTCCATTTAGAGCTTAATCAATCCATCACCACATTTGTATAGGCCATCCGTACCCAGTGTTCCTAAAGTGCTTTCCAAAAATAACAACTAACAACAACAACAAAAAACCTAGCCTCCACACAGGAACAGGCAAGGATCACCACAGCTATAGGGGCCAAGAGAGAAACAGAAAAATGCAAGAGAGGACGGAAAAGAACAAAGACAGACAGACTCAGGACAGGAAAAAGGAGAGACGAGGCAGAGTGCCCGTGAGCAGGAACTTGGCTCAGGTCCTACATTTCCAACCCTGAAGGCAGGAAAGTATCTCTTCTCTGGACTGATGGCCTGAACTAGGACAAATCCTTTGCCTCCCGATGACTCTGTTTCCTCATCAGTAAAACAGAAACAGTTTCATGTTCTTCTCACTCAGAGAAGCTAGATCCCTGGAAAGATTCCAGCAGACTGGGCAAGAACCTCTGGTCTGCGTGGATATTGTTTGTTAGGTGATCCAGGGCAAGTTATTTTCAGTTTCCATCTACAAAATGGGTAAATAATACCCACCTCACTGGGCTGTTGGGAGATGGAAACGGGATCAACATGAAGGATCACAACAGCGTCTGGAATACTGGGCCCTCAAATTAGCCCTGCTGGAGGCCCCTTCCTGCTCTAACAGGCTGTGACTGAGCCCACATGAAACTCCCAAAGGGCACTGTTGTCCTGAGACAAGGCTCAAAACACAGTTAGTTTAGAAGAAAGAAGAGCCACGAGGTTAAACAAGTAAACCTCCAGAGGTCCCTCCCATGAAGTTCTAAAAAATACATATCTTTAAGGAACTGAACATTCCTCCCTCCAAATTATATAATCATGTACACGAGCATCCTGAAGTGATATGTGACTAGAGGGACCAAGGAGGTTTTCCCTAAATATGTTCTACAGCTTAAATATGCTGTAGGACAGGAAAAGGGCAGAGTTTACATGACCAAGATACACATACACACACACTCATTACCTCATTATACAGGTGCCACTGTGGCATTATTTTACAGATAAATGCAATCGAAGGGGCCAGAAGTCTTTCCTCCTCCCACTTTCACACTGCAGAGGGCCCCCTGCTCTTTTTTCCCAATACAAGTCAAGCTTATTTGCATCTCCTCCGGGAAAACTCATCGACTGAGCCCACAGCACGGGGCAGCTCTTCTGAACCCACAGCATCACTGCATGAACACCGGGAGAACCAATCATAACCTTCCCTGTGGACCGCTCAGTTACTTAACTGCTGTATACTACATTTACTGTAGGTGGTAAATTCCTGCAGAGCCCACCAGCTGCCTCTTTCTGTGCCCCAGAGTGTTCAACATTTATTTGTTCACAGAAGGGGAAAAAAAAAGATAAACCCCAAACCCCATAATGTGTGTAGGAAATACAAGATGGCAAAGGAGCAGCAGATATAAAACAGGAAGGGGAAGGGTAGATAAATCCTGGAAGTTTTGCCAGGCAGGAAAACAGATGCTTGACAGATATGGCTGCAATTGGTTCCTAGACCCAAAGATGCATCTATGTGTCATCACAGCCCTCTGCTTGGTTTCCATCAGAGCTGAGCAGAGCAGGTTTCAATACTCACTTGGCAAATAAAGGTTGGGAAGCTGATTTGCTAAATCCGATTTCTTAGGGCTCTGTGTTTGCAGTAACTATACTGCAATTCGGCAAATATTTACTGGCTGTCTTCGGTGCAAGGCCTGGGTGGTCACCGAGATGACGTGGGGCATAGTTCTTACTCTCAAGGAATTCAATCTCCATGAGAGGAATTATTATGTTTATCCATATAGCACTGTGAAACTGTTACTAGGTTTTTGTTTTTGTTTTTTAAATAAAAAAAAGTGCTATGAGAACACAGAGGCCATAAGAACAAAGGATTCTGGTTGGGAGTAGGGGGAGGTGAAAGAGGAAGCTTTGAGCTGGGCCTTGACAATCATGCACAGATTTAGTGAGCTCTCTGGCCTGTTCTGCATCCACAGGTCTAATTATAAAGAAAGAAAAAGAAACGGAAGAACAATTCACCAAAAGGATGGCAGAGAGAGAGAGGAAAAATAAACAGTGATAATTCTTTCTGCCAAGAGTTGCTGACTGCTGCTGTCTGGCAACAGGAAATAAACATATCTATATATCTTCACTCAAGGGGATGTTTAGGTGCTAAATTTTGGTCTTCTAAGTACATACTCATAGCTGTGCAGGAAAACACCTCCTCCAGGTCAAAAATAGCAAACCCAAGAGAACTGGCTGAAGCAGTGTTTACTTTTTACCATCTCTGTGGATCGCTTTCCAAAGGCTCTCAAGTGGGAGGGTATAAACAGGTCTGTGTCACTTCCTGGTTCTCAGGCCTTCTGCTACATTCCCAGTCAGTCTGGGAATGCTGCCTATTTAAAAATAAACTGTAAAAACTCACCAAACCCCCAACTCTAAACCACTCTTTACTTTGCTTCATTTGATTTCACTGAAATTAAAAGGGGTTGAACGAGAAATGAGACTAAAATGACCACAGAGAATGGATTCTCAGGTGAAAACGAAAATACATGCTTATTGAGTTCAAGGTCAGGAGATTTGGATTCTACTCATGTTCTGCCTCTAACTGGAAAACTTGACCTTGAAAAAGCATGATGTTTCACCTCTCTGCACAACAGCCACTTCAGCATTAACCCCAATATAGTTATCCAATCTTTTTGGACTTCCATTATCCTTATCTATAAACTAGCACTAACAACAGCTACCTTGTAGGTATCATATTATGTATCACATGGTATCATATGGTATGAGTACGGTGTAAGTATATCATATGGTATAAGTATCACATGGGAATTACATGTAAAGCACTCAGCACATTGCTTGCATTCAGTAAGTTGTCGAAAATAGGTGTTCTAGTTTTCACCATCTATTATTGTCATCATAATCTGAAAATGTAAAAGGCTGAGCTAGATGATCACCACTTGAAGAGCTTCTCTGGCTCCAAAATCCTCTGGCTCTTTAAGTCACCTTCTCCTTTTTTTCCTTTTCTTTTTTGATGTGGACCATTTTTAAAGTCTTCACTGAATTTGTTAGAGTATTACTTCTGTTTTATGTTTTGGTCTTTGGGCCTCAAGGCATGTGGGATCCTAGCTCCCCGACCAGGGCCAGGGATTGAACCCGCACCCCTGCACTGGAAGGCACAGTCTTAACCACTGGACTGCCAGATAAGTCCCTTCTTTTTTTTTCTTTTCTGGCGGTCAGATGGAAAGGAAGGGAGATCAACTTGGAGAAGCATGACAGTTACCAACACACCCTCAATGTTTATGTTAGAAACACTACAACACAACTAATGAAATTCATCAATGAGCTGGAGGGGGCATGCTCGGCTCCCTGGGGAGGGTCTTAGCTGTGGCTCACACTGAAGCCACAGCATGGGCACAAGTGCTGCCTCCACGCCCTAGTTCATGAAGCACAACACCCTCCAGGGCCAGCACAGCACAACTTCATCCACCCATCTCTACCTGTGCGCAGCTCCTAGGAGCGTCCTAAAAGAGAGCACATGGCCAATCAACCCATTTCTAGTCATGACTAATCCCCCCTGCAAAGCAGTCCTGTTTTAAACAAAAAAGTACCTTCTCCTTAATATAATTTGAATGTGGTCAAAAATTTAACGCCCTTCCCCAAAAGTTAAGAGTGTAATCAGAGTATAGTAACAAGACCGAAGTGCTAGACTGAAATTAAATTCAGATGAAATTAATAGGCATTTTCTTTTATTCACTCAGCATTCATAACATGCTAAAGACTATCAGTTCAGTTCAGTCGCTCAGTCGTGTCCAACTCTTTGCGACCCCATGAATCACAGCATGCCAGGCCTCCCTGTCCATCACCAACTCCGGAGTTTGCTATATAGTATAACCCAGTGAAGAGAATGACTTTCTTGTCATATTCACAATCCTACCTATGCTGAGGGAAGGGAATTTTGAGAAGAGATAGGAACTTAGGAGAACCTCTCAGAATTCTGTTTACCAGGTAGCCTCATAAATACCTTGATTTCTTTTTGTGTATGTGTCTGTTTCTTCTGTAATTCAGAAACAACCTGAAATCTTATGATTTTTATTCTTTTTAGACAATGTTTTATTCAGGGTTTTGGTTTTGTTTTTTTTTAGTTTCTGGACATGTGGAAAATTTTTATTATCACTGTTACACTGATTTTAATTTTACTGCATTATAATTTAACAATTCTATGATGTAGACTTTATGCTATTTATTAGAGGTTTCTTTGCAGCTTAATATTTGGTCATTTTAAAACAATATTCCACATGTCCAAAAAGAACAAAGATTTTCTGCTGNAAAAAAAAAAAAAAGAAATGAGTATGAAACTCTGCAAAGTGCCCCGAACTCAGGATATAGCCCTGGAGTGATCAGCTTGAAAGTGATGGCTGAAAGCACGCAGAAGAGATGAGAGCTCATCCTGGTGAGAGAGCTGAGTGAGAAGAGAGTCGAGACAGGATCCTCGGGGGAACACTAACTTTTTAAAGCAGCATGTAAAGGAAAGAGAGATCATGAAAGACCCTCCCCAAAGTACAAGGAAGCCAGGAGCCTGTGCATCAAAGCTGTCGTGGGAGGACACAGTGATTCAAGGAGGATGTGAGGGTGAGTGGCAGACACAACAAAGGTCCTGTAAATGAAGCCTAAAAGACATCCACTGGAACTGACCACGAGGTTATCACTAGTGACCTCCTCAAGAGTGGATTTATTAGAGTCAGGAGGGAAGATCATGAATTCAAAGTGAGAAAGCACACACAATAAGGGCAAAACTACTGGGGGGAAGGGTGGTGGAACTGGAAAAGAAGGCAGATGAAAGATGGGACGATGGCTAGAGAGAATTCGCGTACTACGAGTTGTACCTTTTCAGTTAATCTAAGGTTTTCAGTTAAAGCTTCTGGAACTGCAGCTCTGAGACACTCCCCCCACCCCCACCCCAATCGAGAGTCCTTCTGAAATGATACCCACACACTGTGACTGCCAAAGCTAGGGAGACGCTGGGGATGAATGTTTAAGACTGGCCTGCTTCTTTCTGTTCAACAACAGCAGAAGCCTCTCTAACCCATCACCCCTCTTCCAAAACTGCTACCTCTTCTGTAGGATTCATGAGTGAGAAGGAACAGTCAATCTAGTGGCAGGGCTAGAAAACTGGCCTCTCCTAGTGTCTCTCAGGTCTTAAGATTCTCTGTAAATATGGTCTCAGTTTCTGCCATTTTCCTCCTTTCCACTCAAATGTCAGCTGAGGATTTGCCCCTGAGATTCAGGTTCAGGATTCCAAGAACATGTTCTTCACCTCCAATGACTGAAGCTTACTGTTAAATGTATACCTGGTGAGGTATACATTTAGACCAATCAAGACACTGTCTTCGAGTCCAAATGTTCTTCATCTTGTGTAAGTTCCAAGAAGCCTCCTAATTCATAAGCAAACCATGACTCTTCCCGTCCTCCTCCTCACAAATTACCCAAACTTCCTGTAAGTTGACAAGGTTGGACTGTGAGGCCCCAAGTAAGAAGGAGAAGGAGGAACTTGCCTACTGTTCCTTCCCCTATGATTAGTCCCACGCCCCAGCACCACCTCTGCCCTGACATGACCCTCTTACGGTACAGAACCATCCACCAAGGCCTGCATGCTCTAGGTCTAGCTCCAACCATGTCTCTAGTTCTCTCGATGTGGAGTTCAAAGTCAGGACCTGAGAAGAAAGGATCTGATTAACACACAAGAAGGAATATTCCTTTAAATCTCTAAATACAGACTCAAAACTTATTTCAAATTAGTCAAAATTCAGGCAGAGGTGTCAAATGAAGAACCTCATAAAGTCCATGTATCATCTAAGATGATGTTAAGAGGCACTGTAATAAAACTCAGCAGATGAGAAAGAAGCATCGTAATTTGATGAGGGAATCTGATAGCTCCCCCAATCTTAACACATATCTTACTGACTTCATTCAACACATATAAAGAGCACCTACTTATATTGGATTCCACAAAAGGTACAAAAGTGGGGGAAAGCTCATACCTTTAAAGAATTTACAGGGGAGGTAAGACACACACGAATAACTACAATGAGGTAAAATGTGAAAACCCGTGGGAGATATATAGCCAAAGTGACATAGAGAAAACAGGGAAGTAAGGTGGAGCCAGCAGAAGGAAATGAAACAGTCAATTAGAGAATTAATCACAACATGGATTTTAAAGTCATAGGAATTCAATCCTGACTCTGCCTCTTGTTTTTTAGAGGTACTAGGTGTCCTGCATTACCTGCTGTGAGCCTCTGTTTCGTCATATATGAAGTTAGGGTAGCAATACCTAGTTCACAGAATTGTGAAGAGTCTATAATTCACACATTTCTGAAGAGTTTAAAACAGGATTTGGCAGAGAGTGAGACTAGGGAAGGTGGAAGGGCCACTGCACATGGGAATTCAGAGCCCCTGTGTCTGCAGAGCTGCCCAGAGCCTCACTCATGGACAGACAGCTGGACACCTGCACAACAACTGAACTCTTAGTTCAGTCAGTCACCCAGGCTGAATGGGACTATGGCCAGGAGGTGCACGAATGAGGCTCAGAGTGTATGCATGTGTACGTTCACGCCAGGATAAACCTGAAGTACACACTCAGTGTTCTCCTCGGAAGTATGGCATCACAATACAGGTTAAGTTTCAGATTATACACCACATACTGCATGATACTACACCATGCTATTCCTTTGGATATGGTAGGTGTTCAGTAAATGTTTGGTACAGTGAAATGACCTGAATCTGGTTGAATTCCCAATGAAATCTGTCTCACTGATTCATTTTTCAACAAGTGAACACAGGAGGCAAAAGATACTTAAAAATTAACCTGAGGGACACAGAAGTCATAATGGAGTAACAGAGACTAGATTTACTTTTTCCTTAAACAACTAGAAAATCAGATAATAATGGTTTTCAGACATTCAAAAATAGGTAGCACAGGGCAGTGATCCTTGAAAAAAGGGAAAGAAATGCAGAGTCCCGCTGCTGCCCCAGCTAACCCCCTAAAGGAGTCTTCAGACCACAGAGCAGGCAAATAAAAACCTGAAAGAGTTCAATGATTTCACTGAGTTAAAGAGACAGCTGAGAATTTGGGGACGCCAAAGAGGCTAGAGTGTGCAGGGCAAAGTAACTGAGAGGAGGGAGCTCAAAGAGAAAAAACTAACGATGTGCAGAGCCTGAGTGTTGATCTGTGCACGTGTCAGAGGAAAGCAGCAAGGCTGAGAAAAGAACCAAAGGAGAGAACTAACCCCTGGCACTCACACAGAGCCAGAAGTTTACACGTTCCCATGGGCCAAAGTGGAAAAAAAAATCTTCTGGTTCACAGGGCACTGGAAGGATCTTCACAAGTGTTTGGCCTCAGTAGTGGGACCATCCTAGCCCTAGACTAAAGGCTGTCTGCAAAAAAAGAAAGAGAGACAAAAATAAATAAATAAATAAATAAAGGCTGAGAACCAAGCCTTGAAAGGATCAAACCAAGTCTAACTGAATTGCTTCTGAGAACAAAGCCAAAAGGTTTTTAAAGGAATACAGAAAGTTTCAGCACCTAACAACATACAACTCACTATGTCTAGTTTCAAATCAAAACTGAGCAGACATGCAAAGAGGCAGAAAATTATGACCATGACCTATGGTCACAGGAGGAGAATAAATGAATAGAAACAGACCTAGAAATGACACAGATGATAGAACTGTGGACAAGGATGTTCAAATCTCTATTACAAATATACTCTGTGTGCTCAAGAGAAAACAGGAAGGCATGAGCATGGTGAGGAAAGAAATACAAACCACAAAGACTCAAACTAAACTTCTAGAGGGAAAAATATAAATACCTGAAATGAAAAATATACAGGATGAAATTAACAGATAAGACACTGCAGAAGAAAAAAAATTAACTTGAAAACACAGCAATCGAAACTATCCAAAGAGATATACACAGAACATAAGTCAGAAGTACAACTGTATCAAGCAGCCTAACATGTGCATAACTGGGGCATGGGGAGAGCACATAGGTACACACAAAAAAAATTTTTTGATGTAAACTATAAACTCACAGATTCAAGAAACTCATCAAACCACAAGAAGTACCTTAACAAGAAAACACAGCATGGTACACTGCAATCAAAATGATGAAAATGATCATTAAAGAGAAAATATTAAAAGCAGCCATGAGGGGGTAGGAGGAGAGACAATGCACCCAGAGAAACAGAATTACAGCAAGTCTACTGTTATAAACAATGGAATCCAGGAGGCAATGGAGCATCACGTTCAAAGTACTGGGGAAAAAAATCAATTTGACACTGATTTCCTAAGGAAAAGTTGACAGGAACTATGAGTTCCCATCACTGTTTTTTGTGCTCCGCAGTAATATTTTTCAGGGAGGCCTGTGCTGAGCACAAGATGTAAACTCAGTGGTCTTATAAACATCTGCAAGTACTTGCTGTTTAGTCACTAAGTCATGGCCAACTTTTTGTGACCCCCATGAACTGTAGCCCACCAGGCTCCTCTGTTCATGGTATTTCCCAGAAAGAATACTGGAATGGGTTGCCATTTCCATCTCCAAGGGATCTTCCTGACCCAGGGATCGAACCAGCACCTCCAACATTGGCAGGCAGATTCTTTTAACACTGAGCCACCAGGGAAGCTCTTTGGAAGTACAGTATTCTACGAGTCAAAAGGGGTAAATACCCTTTCTTACTTTCGTAGAGACATGTTTTATACTCATGTACTCAGAACATTGCAAACTACAGCTCTTATACAGTCATATTCCTTAAGACACTGGAAAACAGACAAGAAAGGTCTATCAGAGGATCCATCCCTTAGCTGAAGAAAATCAAGGAAGAAAGAAAAAGTAAACCCCATCATGCAAAGAGTCAGCCTCACCAGCATTAGGCCTGAAGAGGCCTCCCTCCCTCAAGTGTACACATCTATTGGTTAATGTGTCTGATGGGCCTTTACAGGTTCAGATGAAATATTTTTTCAGAATGAAAGATATATTCCTTAAGAAGTAGGTAAAAGTAACTCAAGAAGTGAAATAGAGTTACTCAATTCTTAGCTATGCAACCCAGCCCAGGGTAACATAATCTTCTCATTAAGTACCCTGGGGAGGCACCCCATTCTTCAGAGTCCAGCCTGGGGTTCTACCCTGGAGGGACCATTAAAATGGCAATTTATCTGTTTTCAACATTGGTTGGTCTGGTTTCTTCACTAAACTGTAGTTAATAAGCTATAAGGTCCCGGGAAGGCTAGAGCTCTATCTGTTTTTTGTGCTTTCTTTGTAAACTCTGAGACCATCACTCTCTCAAAAAACCCAAGTATAGGTGCCCAAGAGGGACTCTCCGTCCCAAAATACCTTACTGCCTGAACAAGTGGTTTTCAACGGGGGCAGTTTTACATGCCACCCCGATCCCAGGGTTTCTAGCAACATTTGGAGGACTTTTTGACCGTCTTAACCTGGTGGGTGCTATTGGCATCCAAGAGGCAGAGGTCCAGGGTGCCAGCAAACATCCCATAATGAACAGGACAGCCTCCTAGAACAAAGAATTTGGCCCCAAATGTCAAAAAGGCTGCAGTTGAGAACCCTGGCCCGAGTGGATCAGCATGGAGCTGAGCAGGTACCAGCAGAAGTTCTACATGTCTTGTAAATTCCCTGCCGCCACTGGCAAGTCTCTTCCTATCACCTGTCTCCAGGCAACACTTTGATCCTGTTGTTGTCCCTACCTCAGGCTTACAGTCCCTCAGAGAGAGGAATTTAATAAGAGTTTAGATGTCTGGGTTTTCACACCATCTCGGCCACTAGCTGTTGATTCTGGCTGTTACATATCACGAAACTTTTCTGGGCCCATTTCCTCCTCTGTAAAACAGAAGGCTTGGAAAAGATGACTGAGGAGTTCTTCCAGCTCTAAAATTCTATTTGAAATGCTATCTGTCCTTATCATGAGCCAAAGAGAAAGGATCCAGCTCAGTCGAGAGTATGCACAACCACCCTGGAAGGACAGAGGTTCTGCTACTGTAGAGACCGAATCCAGCCAAGGGGGAGCTCTGGAGAAGCCAGGAGCTCAGGTACAAGTGATCCAGAAAGGGCTCTGCAAACATGGGCTTAAAGCCCAGCCCAGGCTCTCAGGTTTAAAATACATAGGAAAGTCTCCCTTCTGCCTTTTCAGGTCAATCTTATTCATCAGTGCTAAGAGGAGGAGGGGGAGGCTCGGGCCACTGAAGAGCAGCCCTGGATCAGTTGGGAGCTTATCAGAGACACTGAGTCTCTGCCTTCATCCCTAACCCGCTGCTATGTCACCTCAGTCAGGTCCGACTCTGTGCGACCCCACTGGTGTCAGCCCACCAGGCTCCTCTGTCCCTGGGACTCTCCAGGCAAGAATACTGGATTGGGTTGCCATTTCCTTCTCCAGTGCATGCATGCATGCTAAGTCGCTTCAGTCGTGTCCGACTCTGTGTGACCCTATGGACAGCAGCCCACCAGGCTCCTCTGTCCAGGGGATTCTCCAGGCAAGAATATTGGAGTGGGTTGCCACTTTCCTTCTCCCTCATCCCTGATCTACAGAATGAACATCTGCATTTTAATAAGATTCTCCAGGTGACTGGTTAAAAGTTTGAGAAGCCCTGGTTTAGGGTATACTGCCCTTCTATTCCCTGCTCTGTCATCTCCTCACTTGTAAAGATGACTTTCAAGATTGTCCACATTCTACCCTAACTCCACCTCCTTGCACAGTTTGTGCACATGTACACACACAAACACATACACACGAGTTCAGAACTTCCAAATCCAGAGTCACCAACAGTCACGAGGACAAGTTCCTTTCTCTTTGCCTCTTGCCTATATCCACACAAGGCTGGAAAGAAACAAGACTCGAAGCACAGGCTAAATCAGAGCTTTTCTGAGTGACTGATTCAGCCCACCCCTGCTGTTCAAAGACTTCTCAGGAGGAGGGATGGTGAACCCAAAGGTACCAACTCTGATGGGAAGAGACTCATCATTAGCATCTGAACAGAGACCGACTGGAGTCTAAAGTTTCACTGTTTTCCTACTGCCTCTGTTCACGTTACAGAAAGATTCTTGGGGCACAGGCTAAAGGGCAAAGCACACACACAGAGTAAAGAAAAACGCAGCAAGGGTTCTCCTAGGGGTGGGGGCACCTG